AATTAAATACAATTGCTCAAAATGTTGACTGTTTGCGATGACGTACAGTATGTTCAAATATTATTAAGATTATTATTATTACACACCATTATGAAGAAGTTTAGCAAATGATGTGCAACAGATTTAGCCTTTACCTGTTGCGTCTTGCTTAAATATTCTCATTTTCATATTTTTAATGAACTGGCAGCTTCAACACATAATATACTCATTCTACTCAAAGTTGCGACCCGAAATCGCACGTTTTTTCACGACCTAGAAGTCTGTTGTAAAATATATATTATATCTGATCTTCTGATGAGGCATGAAAAAGTCTGAAATGCAGATCATGAGCATAAACACACAATAACACAAGAAAACACACAGACTCCGACATACATGTACACACGTCTACAAGTTTGAGGTTTTTCCATTATGAGTCATTGTCACTATGGCAACAGGCTATAAACTCTTTTCCTGTCTTCATTAAAATCTGATTATGAATGAAATTAAATCCCACACATACACACACAGAGACATACGCACGCACACACACACACACACCTAATAATGCTATACTTCAACAGACAGGCAACACTTCACTCTATTGTATCCGTCTTTAATTTCAAAACTGTTCCCACCAACTCGTGTGAACAGACAAGGCTTAGCAAGTGTGTGTGTGTGTGTGTATGTGTGTGTGTGTGTGTGTGTGTGTGTGTGTGTGTGTGTCTTGTGAGCTGAGAGGACTGGGGTTAAGCGTCCACTCCGCAGACAAAAGCCAAACTCTCTACAGCACTGTGACCTAGGAAACGCCGAGCTTGGTAAACACACACACGCAGACACACACACACACACACACACACACACTCTGAGATGGCAAACAGTTTGGCTTGTCTAGCGTTTGGTGGTGTGGATTAAGCAAGAAAACCACTATGATTTTTCACCCCGAAAACTCGTGGCACATTTCTCAAGAAAACCACATCGTCAAAGCCATATTTAAAACCAGCTAAGCGTGTGTGAACCCAAAACCACTGCTAACAGACATGACAGGAATATGAAGATGTCTGCTGGCATACTCACATATTCAACCTCTCGCGTTTAAGTTTCTAATCTGTTCTCATAACATAACGTCAGTGCTCCCAGAGACTTCATTAAGCTTTGCTTTGGCTTGTAACACAAGCAGACCTGATCGTTTTCATTTATGATCTGAGGTTGAAGCTGTAATTTCTGAGCTACTATTTCAAAAATAATTGCAAAACATAACAGAATTACAAATATGATGGTTATTTTCAAAAAGGGATAGTTCCGCCCTAAACTCACACCATTGGTTGAGCCAATGTTGTTTTGTCGAACTGGTCACCAAACCAAAATAACAAAAACTCCAAAAAAATCACAAACATTTGGAATTAATTTTTAGATCTGTCCCATTAACCTAAAAAAAATTTGAAAACGCTTTAGCTTTAAGAAGTGATGCCAAACTTTTTATCTCTTCATCCACAGACATAAGAACACTGATCAATATCTGTCCTTATGATTCAAGAAATGCATGCAGAAACAACGTACACAATTACCATTATAAGGCATTTGATTTGACTTAAATAACCAGTGACAGGCTCAATAAAAGTCACACATAGACGTCACAACGGGAGAAATTCCTTCGCTGGTCAGAAACACCCACAAACACACTCAGAAAGTTTGCACAGTGTGAAACAGCACTAACAGTTACTGGATGAGGGATGATGGCTACATGACATGACAACAGTAACCGTAGCAACTATGAGCGGCCGTTCGCATCAAAAGATATGTTCGCGCCAACTTGAACAGCCCCCTACCAACCCCAGCATCTACAAAATTACAATTATGGCAAGACACTATACAGGCAAAACCACTGTTTGTTTTTTATGCGCTGGTCAATTGTTTTGATTTTTTCAGGCTTTTTTTTTCAGACTAGTGGAAAGAAAACTTTCAAACTAAACATTTGAGTGTTTAATTTATTACACTTTATTGATTTGCGTCTGTAGATTTCAATTACAATACATATCTTTAACGGCCATTTTCTCATGCATTGAGCCAGAAATCTCCACTTCAGCAAAACTTGCACCAAACTTTCCAGTTTGTTTTCCTATCTATATTCAGAGGGGTTTGTTCATATATCATTTACCTGTTTTTTTTAACCTTTTATGGTCACACTTTAGTTTGGGGACCAATTAACTAACTATTAACTATGACTAAACCTAATTAATAGTTAGTAAGGTGGTTGTTAAGTTTAGGTACAGGGTTAGATTAAGAGATCAAGGATATGGTTATGCAGAATAAGGCATTAATATGTGCTTTATAAGAACTAATAAACAGCCAATAAGCAACTAGTTAATAGTGAGAATAGGTCCCTAAACTAAAGTGTTACCTATTTTATTCTTAAGAAACATGGATTTTTTTTCATTTGCATATTTTATTTCAGAAAACTTTTAATGCAAAAACTATTGTGATATCTATTTGTTACAGTTATCACCTGGTTCCTTAAGGTCTATGTTTTTTTCTCACTCACTGTTTTTTTTAATGGGTGTGCCACTCTCACTTTCAAACTAATGGTGAATTTTTACAGAGTTCTTAATGGACTACTCTCTCTCTCTCTGCTTTCACGTCTCCTCTTTTCTCTCTCCTTCAAGTCCTTTTCTTCTTTCTTTCCCACTTTCTCTCTATCCAAACACACACAACTGTGACCGACCTGCTGTCCGTGAGAAATGTTATCTGAACGTTCTCTCCAACATAACCAATGTTATTCAAAGGTTTTCAAACAGGCCTGGCCTCTGAGGAGACAAAAGGCAGAAATACTTCAGCCGCTACTGTGGCAGCGGCCGTATGTGTGTAACCATAACTCATATTCAAACAGACACAGACACACAAACATATACGCGCACACACACGTACAGCAGAAGCCGGGGTCACTAGGGCACCCGGCAAGATGAACAAAACAAGCTCTGGAAGGTTCTGTCACCCGCTACCAGATCATCCCCCTCCAAAAAAAAAAAAAAAAAAATCAAACACCCT